GCTCCAACTGCGACCAGTTTTCTTCTTCTCTGCCACCTCCACCCATCTGGCTCCAATCTCTCCTGCCTCAATTACAGTTTTGGGTTTCCCATCTAGGATGTATCTTTCGATTTCCTCAGGAACACCCTTCTAAGAATTGTTCCATTTGCATTAGGAAGGGCAAATTTTCTGGAGATTCAACACTTGCTCCTGATATCCAGGCATCCCAATGTTTCACAATGTGGTAGGCATGTCGGGTAAATGACATGTCTGGTTTCCACCTTAGGGCTCTGAACCTCCGACGAGACTGCTCGGGTGTTATCCCCATTCTGACTCTCGCCTTGGATTTAAACAGTTCATACTTGTTCATGTGTTCTTTAGGCATTTCAGCTGCCACCTCAGCTAAGGGTCCACTGAGCTGCGGCCTCAGCTCTACCATGTATTGGTCAGTAGAGATGTTGTACCCAAGGCAGGCCCTTTCGAAGTTTTCTAAGAAGGCCTCAGTATCATCGCCTGCCTTGTAGGTGGGGAACTTTCTGGGATGGGAAGTGGTACCTGGAGAAGGATTGCTAGGGTTTGTTGGTATATTCTGCTGGGCCTTTATCTTCTCCATCTCCTCCACATACTTCCTCTCTTTTTCCTTCTCCTCCAGTTCTTTGTCCCTCGCTTCCATAGCTCTCCTGTGAGCAGCTGCTTGGTGTTGTTCTGCTTCTCTCGCTGCCTCCCTTTCTTGTTCCTTCTTCAGCTGCATGAGTTCTATCTGTCTTTCATGTTCCCTTTGTCTTTCCTCAGCCTGAAATTTGGCTAATTCCAGCTGTAGTCGAGCTGAGGATTTGGTCATTCTAACCTCTCTGTTTTTAACTAACTTTACACCCGAGGTTTAGAAATAAACAAACAAAACTTGGCTGTAAAATTTTGCTGTGCTGCAATAGAATACCTATTCTCTGATAGTGATTGTCAGCCTACAGAAAAAGACAATTCCCTTGTCTCTGCTCTGGGCCCAAATTAAAGCAAAAAACCTCCAACTGCTTGGAAACCTGCTTACCCAGCCCAAAGAAAAAGCAAATGGGTAGAACACACACCCCCTATTTACTTTTAGGAAGAAAAGAAAAAAAAAACAATGGGTTGGAAGACTGTGAATTTCCCTGCAGGAGTTAAGTACCCTGCCTCCAGGCAAAAAAACCTGCAATTCACAAGATAATCCCCTTTTGTCTCTGCTTGGCCAAAGTTTCAAAGCTGCTTTCTGGACTTTCTTTCCAAAGAAAAAAAAATTTCCTTTTTAAACTCTGTATTTCTAGTTCAAAAAATCTCAACTGGATCTCAAATGATTTCAGGTTAATCCCACCACTGTGCCACCATGTCAAGGTTCCTCCCCCACTCTGAACTCTAGGGTACAGATGTGGGGACCTGCATGAAAAACCTCCTAAGCTTATCTTTACCAGCTTAGGTCAAAACTTCCCCAAGGTACAAAATATTACACCCGTTATCCTTGGAATGGCCGCTACCACCACCAAACAATTACTGGTTACTGGGGAAGAGCTGTTTGGACGCGTCTGTCCCCCCAAAATACTTCCCAAAACCTTGCACCCCACTTCCTGGACAAGGTTTAGTAAAAAGCCTCACCAATTTGCCTAGGTGACTACAGACCCAGACCCTTGGATCTTAAGAACAATGAACAATCCTCCCAACACTTGCACCCCCCCTTTCATGGGAAATGTTGGATAAAAAGCCTCACCAATTTGCATAGGTGACCACAGACCCAAACCCTTGGATCTGAGAACAATGAAAAAGCATTCAGTTTTTACAAGAAGACTTTTAATAAAAAATAGAAGTAAATAGAAATAAAGAAATCCCCCCTGTAAAATCAGGATGTAGATATCTTATAGGGTAATTAGATTCAAAAACATAGAGAACCCCCCTAGGCAAAACCTTAAGTTACAAAAAAGATATACAGACAGAAATAGTTATTCTATTCAGCACAATTCTTTTCTCAGCCATTTAAAGAAATCATAATCTAACACATACCTAGCTAGATTACTTACTAAAAGTTCTAAGACTCCATTCCTGTTCTGTCTCTGGCAAGAGCAGCACACAGACAGACCCTTTGTTCCTCTCCCTCCTCCCAGCTTTTGAAAGTATCTTGTCTCCTCATTGGTCATTTTGGTCAGGTGCCAGCGAGGTTACCTTTAGCTTCTTAACCCTTTACAGGTGAGAGGAGCTTTCCCCTGGCCAGGAGGGATTTCAAAGGGGTTTACCCTTCCCTTTATATTTATGACAGGGGCTCTTCAATCTAGCAGAGAAAGGTGTAACACGATCCAGTGACTGGAGGTTGAAGCTGGACAAATTCAGACAGGAAGTTAAGCCTACATATTTGACAGTGAGCATTATTAACCATTGGGGCGATTTCCCAAGGGTTGTGGTGGATCCTCCATCACTGACCATTTTTAAATCAGCACTGGATTTTTTCTAAAAGCTCTGCTCTAGGAATTAGTGTGGGGCAGTTCTCTGGCCTGTGTTATACAAGAAGTCAGAACAGTCAATAACAATGGTCCCTTCTGGCCTTGGAATCTATGACACCGTAACACTGAATTTTTGGGGCTTGTCAGATTTGGGATTGGAATAATCACAACATTCTTGTGATTTTTTTTTATGCTTATGTCACAGGGTCTATTCACTGCTCATGGCACCTCCTGCTGGCTGTCTTCTGTGTATTAGTGCTCCCACTCCGGTGATGTCTTCTCCTATGCAGTCTTGCCCTGCTGCCCCTCTCACTCCAGGGACTGCAGTCTCCTCTTCGTGGCTTGGCCCTCCGGCCAGGTCACTAATGTCCTCCCCTTCTGGGGAATTCACCATCTTTCCAAACCCACTGGCTGGCTGGCACCTCCAACACCCTGTACCGCTTCCCGGCAGCTGGTAGGGGAACCCAGGCCTGCCCTCTACACTGGGTTCCAGCCCAGAGACCCAATAACAAGCAGCCATGGTCCATTACAATCCTACCTTTTGCTGCTGTTTCCCTGGGCTTCTTCCTACATATCTGGCTTTCCCCCAGTCAGGTTTGCCAGCTTTCCAACTCCCTCCACTCAGGGAGCGACTACAGCCTTTCCCAGCAACAGCCCTGCATCTGTAGCCAGCTACCAGACGTTTTCCAGGCCCCTCCTGTTCCCACACAGGTGAGTGGGTTCAGAGCTCTGCCACGGCACCTCAGCTAAATAGCTCCTGGTTTTCACCAGGAGAAAGAGGTGCTGCTGGCCTCCCTGGACATACAGGTTAGCGCTGTCATAGGAGGGTGCACCTGCTTTTCTGATGTTACTCGCACTGAGAGTCCTTGATTCAGCAAACCTGCAGAAGCACTTGCTTAACTTTAAGCATGTTTATGTTCCACTGACATCAGTAAGCACCTGGTTAAAGCTAATCACGTTCTCAAGTGCTTTGCTGAGCTGAGGCCAGACAGGGAGCATGGCAGCACAGGATAGGTGTGGCAAGGCAATGGTTACCTAGCGGTTGTATTACCTGAGGATTGTTCCCAGAGGACAGGAGCCACAAAGGAGGCACAAACAGAGCAACAAAGGAGGAACCAGGCAGATCAGCAAGGCGTGGAAGAGATGTTCCACTTACTGGCCCCCATATGCAAATGCACGTCCTAGGAGAAGATGACCTGCACTTGCCATCTGCTCTAGGCTAGAGGGACAGAGAGAAGACAAGCTGTCACAAACCCCAGGGAGCATCTGTGAGACTGAGAATGGCTCATTAGAATTTTCAAAAGATGGCACTGAATGTTCCGTTAATTGAGACCGCACTTGAAATGCGCAGGAGCCTCTGAACTCAGTGTCATGGGATTGGTAGCTGCTTTCCAAATACCTCCATACCCTGCTGCTTGTGCTCTGTCTGCTCCCCTGCGACCTCTTCCTGTTGATGATGCAGTGCTGGGGGGAGCTGCTGACAGTTTTGCTCTGTGTCCACATACCACACAACAGAACCACTAACCCAGGAACTTATCCTTGAAACAAAGCCCGTTGCCAATTGTGCCCACATATCTATTCAGGGGACACCATCACAGGGCCTAATAACATCAGCCACACTATCAGAGGCTCGTTCACCTGCACATCCACCAATGTGATATATGCCATCATGTGCCAGCAATGCCCCTCTGCCATGTACATTGGTCAAACTGGACAGTCTCTACGTAAAAGAATAAATGGACACAAATCAGATGTCAAGAATTATAACATTCATAAACCAGTCGGAGAACACTTCAATCTCTCTGGTCACGCAATCACAGACATGAAGGTCGCTATCTTAAAACAAAAAAACTTCAAATCCAGACTCCAGCGAGAAACTGCTGAATTGGAATTCATTTGCAAATTGGATACTATTAATTTAGGCTTAAATAGAGACTGGGAGTGGCTAAGTCATTATGCAAGGTAGCCTGTTTCCTCTTGTTTTTTCCTACCCCCCCCCCCCCAGATGTTCTGGTTTAACTTGGATTTAAACTTGGAGAGTGGTCAGTTTAGATGAGCTATTACCAGCAGGAGAGTGAGTTTGTGTGTGTATGGGGGTGGGGGGGATGTGAGAAAACCTGGATCTATGCAGGAAATAGCCCGACTTGATTATGTAAAGAGTTGTCACTTTGGATGGGCTAGCACCAGCAGGAGAGTGAATTTGTGTGGGGGGGTGGAGGGTGAGAAAACCTGGATTTGTGCTGGAAATGGCCCACCTGTTGATCACTTTAGATAAGCTATTACCAGCAGGACAGTGGGGTGGGAGGAGGTATTGTTTCATATTCTCTGTGTGTATATAAAGTCTGCTGCAGTTTCCACGGTATACATCTGATGAAGTGAGCTGTAGCTCACGAAAGCTCATGCTCAAATAAATTGGTTAGTCTCTAAGGTGCCACAAGTACTCCTTTTCTATCTGCTGCTTTAGTTATTCCCTGAATACTCCTTATTCCCCATCTCTTCTTATCATCTCATTTGGATCCATCCAATGGGTCACACAGCATCCCAAGGCTGTATCCTTGAGTGGGATGCCATAGTATCAGTTTCACTGTGATGCACCAAGAGATTCTTCAGGGTTTGGGCTGTAATAACAGTACTTGTCATTTCACGTGGTCCAAGGAAGGAACTTCTGAAATCTTGCTTTTCTGACATGTATTCCCAATATGCTTCACATAACTGGCATTTTAATATAGCTCTTGGGTTAAAAGGCAAGCGTACCTTACAGCCTGTGCCTTCTGGGCAAATGTGCCACCCTGGAAACGTTATTTATATGTTTTTAATAGAGTAGTGAAAGGAGACATCAGCATTCATGTGCCCTAGCCTGGGTTTAATACCAATGCTGGGTTGCACACTCAGATCAGGATGTGACCTCCAGGTAACACAAGATCTGAAACTTCTTTCTTTAGGAGATAAAGGAAATGCTGGGGCACCAGCAACAACTGGTGAGCATTATTTGAGATTCAGTTCAACTCTGTCCCCTCATACAACGATTAAGAGGAAGCTACTTGAGTTTAAATACACACACACACACACACACACACACTGAGGTGTACATTACAAGCCTCTCAGACTGACAGCAGTAAAGTTCCTCTATGTGGAAGACAAAACCTTCCCTGGGGGCAGTCCGAGACTGGGTAAATCCCCACCCCACCCCCACTAAAAATCGTCGTGATCATCATCAGCCTCCACTCCAAATAAAAGGTACATTTCTTCAACCTGCCTGTTCTAATATAAATCTGGAATACCATGAACATTAATAAACAACCCACAACACCCCACACACTGCCAAACCACTCCACTGCACACAGTCTCCCCTGGGGAAGGGATAAAAGAGAACAAACCACACATGAGAGATGTCAGTCATAATGCACATAATGCACTACTGGGTATAAGAATAGAACAGAATAGAATAGGCTTCTGATGTCATGCACTATGTATCACTGATAACTTCATAAAATCAAAACCTCCTCTGGTCTAGAGGCAGTATCATGGAACAATTTAACAACAAACAAGTAGTTAGAATGGAGACCAATCTGAAGAGTACAACAATATCAAACCTGCAGTTCTTCACTGTGTAAAGCACTAGGTAGCAAATAAAAACCAGGATGTGAACATGTGTTCAACCCTGTGAAATCCTCTCTCAGGATTTAATGATCTAATCACTCTGCTGTCTTGGGGCAGGTGTAAACCATACTTTCAGAGGTTTTGCAATGCTTACAATAATTGCATATCCTTCTTGGCCAGATTGATCTTTCACCCTGACATCAGTGGAATGAAGCTCTAGCTGGAAAATAATCTCAACCCTTTGGTATAAAGGAGTTAAATGAAGAATTGCTGACACCAACACTTAAAGGAAAGCAAGTAAAATTAATGGGAAGCAGACCCGTTGGCACCAAAATATTTACTGAGTCACACAGGAGGAACAATGTGACAGGAAACTTTCGTATCAGATTCTTGAAGTTGGGAAACTGTCCACACAACAAGCCAAGGGGAAACCATTTTACAGCTGTAACGTGGAAACTGGGATGTAAGGGAGATTACAGTTCCGAGGTGGAGTTTACTTATTGTATTTTCATATGATATGAAAGGCTCCCAGGGCTGAGATGCTAACAGAGCATGAAGATGAGGAGACGAGCGAAGCTGCCGTTGCCAAGACCAGCACCAGCCATGAGGAGAGCTGCCCAGCAAACCCTCCTCGCCGTACTCTGCCTAGCAGCAGCGGTTTGTGAGGCTCAGGACACCTGCCCAGGTGAGTCACAGACAAACCTGTTACCTTTTCATAACATGGATCTGACTAGTCCCCACTTTAAGATGCAGAATTTAGAATGCACAAAATTCCTCATCAGTTAGAATATGAAGTTTAATATTAGCCCTTCTTATTTTCTTCCTTAATTAAATCACTTTTAATCAAGAAACAAGATGGCTCACATATGCACTGTATAACTAATGCCTTTCCATTGCTGTTGGGCTGTTCCATGGCATAGTATGAGACGGAGCAAAGGGGCTGTGAAACCCTCAGCTACTAGATTGGAGAAGAATGGCATTCACAAGATGAGATGCTTTTTATTACATCAGCCCTGATTTTACTCTTTGGCAGTCCTCGAACAGCAACATTCTCCAGTTAAAGAATAATCTGATTAAATGAAAATCTTGCCATGTTCCATTCTCTACTGATTCTGTCCAGTGAGCTCAGGTACTACAGTGATGGAGATGATATCAGGAATAGAATAGACCTCATAAAAGGAACAGAATATGATGCACATGATATAAAGTAGAATGGAACAGATCTGATGTAAGGACTAGAACAGAATAAGTCTGATATAAGAAGTAAACTAGAATGGGAATAGATACCTCTACCCATAGCTGCTTTTGGTTTGTTCCTAGGGAGATGTTAGTCAGATCTTTGGAATTAATGTGAAAGTCAGAAAATCTCTAAAGTTTATAGAAATTCACACATGCACAATACTCTGGCATTTCTCAAATGTTCCTTTATTTCACACTTCTTAAGAGCTGCTCAAAGACACTTTCCTCCCAGCGTCGTGAACCCTGGTTACCTATCTTTCTTGCAGCAGTACATGGTTGTAGGAAAAAGTCCCTGGGATCGTATTAATAAAACAAGGTGAAAGCAATGACTGTGGTTTGTGTTTAACGCAGTAGGTGAGGCTGCTTGGTCACATCTTGTGTAGCTTTCTTGATTTCCTCTTCCCAGATGTCGGGGTACAATCCTGTTCCCGGTGAAGCCAATGACAAAACTCCCACTGACTTCACATTTACAAGCTTTGAATTGTCTCTTGTTGCTTGCAGTCCCCACTGCTCTCATCTATCCAGATCACATGGCAGTGTGATTAGTTTTCACCCAGACCCTCTCTAATCCACCAGTTTTAGTGTCACTTGAAAATCCTTTTTGAGGTTCTCCAGTGTCTGCTGTACGGTCTGTTCTGGTGGTTAATTTAATACATGCAAATTCATGAAAGTTTTGAGGAATTAAGAGGCTATTTAAATTGAGGCTGTGGTTTTTGTATTTAAGAAAAGAAAAGAAAAGAAAAGAAAAGAAAGCTAGCTTGTGGAGATTCTCATTTGCAGGATTTATTTCTCTCAGGGATCTGCAGAAAGTTTCAGCCCTATGGACCTTCTCACATGTCATTTCTTTCTCCAGATTTGAAAATAGTGGGTCTCAGCGGTTCAGAGAAGCTCGCTGTTCTCCAGGGCTGCCCTGGGATTCCTGGTGCCATGGGGCCCAAAGGTGACCCTGGACGTGCAGGAATGAGAGGTATGTGTCCAGGGGCTGAGGGAGACTCTGCCTTGGATGGCAGAAAAGTGAATGAGTGATGTTAAAATAGTTCAGCCCGTGGAGATCCTTATGAGTCCCCAACATGAGGAAAAGGTGCCTCAAACAGGCTGGTCACTATGCCAGTCTATAACTCCACATGGAGGGGCCAGAACTAACAAGCTGGCTCTGAAACATTGTCGATTTCTTTTTCCTCTGACCAGAACAATGGTAGCCTGTGGGCTGTGGAAGGGAGGCCAGCTGTGTATCTTTGATGGCCACCACCTTGGCTAGCACACCAGGGATCTCCAGAGTGTGAGCTGGTAAAGCAGGAGCCAAAGGGCCAAGTGCTGCTTTCTGCTGTTGTAACAGACTGACATCCTCCCTCACCGCTGGTTACAGATCTATCTGCCAGGACTCATATATACCAATAAACGATTTGACCATATAGAGCAGTGGTCTCAAACTTTAGAAACCCGAGGACCCCATTTTGATATAAAATTTTTCACAGACCCCCTCAAGCTCCCTGCTCAGCCCCACGCCCCATCCCCACTCCACCCCTTCCCCCAAGGCCCCACCCCATCTCTTCCCTCCCCTGCTTCAGCCCTGCCCCTCCTCTTCTCTGCCTCTTTACGCTCCCTCCCCTGAGCGCACCCCAACCCCACTCCTCCCCCTTCCCCCCAGCGCCTCCTGTACGGAGTGCAGAAGGCTCTGGAAGGGAGGGGGAGAAGTTGAGGGAGGGAGTGGGAGGAGTTGATCAGCAGGGCCGATGGACCCCCTGGAGTACTCTCACGGACCACAGTTTGAGAAACGCTGATACAGAGAGATTTGTTAAAACTAAGAGCTAGCTGCTATCTGAGTTGCACCCATGACAATGGCTTAGTGGAAGCAGGGTCTGATACGTTCTCTGGGATGGATACCCCAACCGGACACTGATGTGATGTGAAAATCCAGCGGAAGGATCCTCTCTCTGGACTCTAAGTTGCAGCCTCATGACTCAAATCAGAAATGGCAGATGTGGGGATTCAGTTCACTTCTAGCTGGTATGTTTGAATTGGTCAGGGCTTGCGCTGTCAAATATTTACCCTCTTGTGTTCGTAGGGGAACGGGGAGCTCCAGGGATCCCTGGAAAGATGGGACCAGCAGGGGAGAAAGGTAAAGAAAGAAAGAACTAGTCACTTGGATTCCATCACAGTAACAGCTTCTGAACATGCTTGTCTTCAGGTTACATTTGGGAAAACTTTTACCCCAATAGAACCTCAGTTCTGAGCCCCCCATTGAAATTGTTGCACTTCAGATAAATCTTTCCACTGTTTAACCTCCTTGGACTGAAAGGTGATTGATCAATTCAAATAATTCTTCTCACTGCAAAGCTGTGGCCCTTCTGTACTTTAATGACATGCAGGGATGGCTACAGTGCAGCCGGGGGCGTGATTTGCAGTTCATGTCGCTGTACTCACATTAGCATTAATCTAGCTAGCTTGCTAGCAACAGAAGTGAACACATGGTCTAAGCTACAAATGTGGGTAGCCAGAGTGGTCAGGCAAACTTGTGCAGCATATGCTGAATCTTGTGCCACTACGTCCTCACGGCTATTGTCAGCAAGCTGCTCGGTGAAATCTAGCACGAATACGTCTTCAGGAGCTGCAAATCACATCAGTGTAGACATACCCACAGTGACAGGCATGTAAGGTGCAATAGGTCTGTAGTGCCTGCTAGTTCAAAGAGGCCTGCAGGTACTTACAAATATTTCTTAGCACTTACAGGAATTCATGCTCAGCTAATCCAATACTGTACATGAGGGAGACAGTGACTGAGGCTTGTGACAAATACCATTTCACCCTCATCTTTCTTTGCAACCAGCTACTGCATCTAGAACTTGCTCTGGGTTTTGAAGGAACATCAGGTACAATTTTCAAAAGCACCTAAGGAGTAGAATCGGTTGGAATATTTTCACCAAAGTGAAGTTTTAGTAACGGGCCATGGCTCTCTAGAGAGCAAGACTCTCAGAGGCTGGTGATCAGCACACTGGCCTGTGATGTGGAACAGAACTCAAATTCTCGTAGATTATTTCCCAGAGCCCCCCATGTGCCCTCTCCCAACAGACTATAAAAACCTCCAGGCCCTGGGGAGAGGATGGCTTCAGCTGCTGGGCTGGTGGTGCGGGGAGCTCAGGACTTCTGACCTGGTGGCAGGGCTCTGGGCTTCAGCTGAGAGGACGGGGGGGTCTCGGGGCTTAGCCCCACAGGGGTGGGGGGGCACAGGGCCTCGGGGCTTCAGCAGAGCTCTGAATAGCTCCGGGTGAATTTAAACCCTGATGTAGGGGAGCCAGGATCAAGTCTCTCCTCTGGCTGATTCAGAGCAGAGTTTTTCATCCCAGATCATCCTGTCTCAAAAAGAACAGGGACTTGAACTCCCTTCTCCCACATTCCAGTGTCTTAACCACCAGGCTATAAAGTATGGGAGAGAGTCTCTCTTGTCAGAAGTAACCAGAGAGCCCTGTACCCAAAAACCTTCTCGAATAGAAGAGCCCAGGTTTCGATCGGAACATGGACATCTCAACACAATTTCATTTTCCACAAAAAAGGTTTTGTTTTCATGACAGTGTGGAATGAAAACAAAGTTCAAAACCTCCAGAGTTGCCGCGAAATGGAATTGTCATGCTCCGGCCAGCTCTGCTTTTTAACGGGCCGTAGGCTCGTAAGGTTTGTATGTGCTTTTGAAAATGTTACCCATTGCATCTGGCTGCCTGAAGTCTCTGAACAGTCAGCCAGGAGCAATTCTGCACCAAGCTACTTTCATCTTGTTTACCCAAGTGAATCAAATTTTTACAAATGGAGAATAAACCCCCAAATATTAACTTTTTTTTTAAAAAAAAGTGTCTACGTACTTCACACGCTTCTAAATGTAATGCTCCTCTTCTGCCCTCTTTTTCTGTATTGTACCATCTATGCCAAATTCATGCAGCTCTGGAGATGTTGGAAGGGCATTAACAATGAGGAGTCCAGTGGCACCTTAAAGACTAACAGATCTATTTGGGCATAGGCTTTCGTGGGTAAAAAAAACCCACTTCTTCAGATGCATGGCATTAGTGTATTTTCCTGCAGCAAGTCAGGCTGACGCCCCATGAGTTCTGAGGTTACAGTGTGATCTCCAACTCTTGCAAGTATTTAAACCTGTGCTCCGTTCTAGGAGAGAAAGGAGAGTCCGGAGAACCAGAAACAACAGGTAAGAACCTCTGCACTCTCCCATATAGCAAAAGAATGATTTAACTGACAGTAGCAGCTGTGTCCGCCCTGAGCTGCAGTCTGTCTCCAATCCCTCAGGAGGATGGTTAACGTCTCAAATAGCCGCCATTTCAAAACAAAACAACCTATTACCACAACACTTCCTTCTCCCGCTTCAGTGTAGGAACTACTGCTCCCACACCGCCTCCCCTACCCAAGGCACAGAATGAGTAATATTGAGTCTTATTTCAGAAAGACCCACTAACTCATAATATTATTTAAGGTGGCCGGAGCAGTCCCTGATGCCCTCGTGAAAGGTGCCTCCTGGACCCTCCTCCAGCCTGTATGGGCGTGCCAGCCAGTTCCCACTGATGGGTGGCAGGGTACAAGGTGCAGAGCCAGGGCCCTAACCCCACTCTTCTCCACGCCTTTTGTGGACATTGTTGGCATTAGCTTTGAGCAGCCCTTTTGCTCAGGGAACAGGGGGGCAGAGACAGGGCTTAGGAGTAGGGCATGAAGGTCCAGGTGCCTTCCCCTGCCCTTACGCACCTGCCAGGGCCAGGCACAGCCTCTCCCTAGTGAAAAAAGATGAAACAAATCAGCTGTCTAAACTCTGCTGAGTTAACCCCCTGGTGAGTGTGTCTTACAGGTCCCCCTCTGTGACCGATCCACACAGGATAGGAGTAGGGGTCTGGTGTCAGGGGCCTTGACCATTTAGCTCAAAGCATAGCAGTGCCTGCTTTTAGTTCTGAAGGCCCCAGTATATCAGTCAAGATCACATTGACTCTTCACCCACCCCTTGCACAATCAGATCCAGTCCCGCGCTTTCAATCAATGCATGGTTAATTTTCCATTTTGTCTAGGACCCAGAAACTGCAAGGAGCTGTTAGCCAAAGGGAGAACGCTGAGCGGCTGGTACGCCATCTACCCAGGAGTTGCTGATGATTCCATCACTGTCTTCTGTGACATGGATACAGACGGTGGAGGCTGGACTGTAAGTGAGAGGGAGTGTGGCGGGGACGAGGGTGTTATAGAGAACACGTTTGATTTTAATCAGAGGTGTGAGGATTGCCACTTGCTGGCAGCTGTAAATCTGTCCTAAATTGAGGAAATGTTGAGACAGAGCTGAAATAATACATCCAGTTATGCCCCAAATATGTCATCACAGATTTCATATCCAGGCCAGCCCATCAGTTCAAAAAGGAGAAACTGAGTTTGTGGAAACCTGGAAGTTTCTGTATTTGTTAGGTTTTGGTTTATTCACATTTGCTTTTTAGGTCTTGTCTAGCCTGGAAGATTCTACAGGTGACTTCAGGTGTAATAACCTGCCTAGTGCATGTGACCATGTCTCCCTCTAGTGGCTGGGAGGGCTACACCTGGCTTTCTTTATCTGCTGACCGGGCTTCCTTTGGAGCTGGTCGTTCCTTACCTCAGCCCAGGAGGCGTGGGCACTCCCAGGGTATGTTTACACTGTAGCTGGGAACAGCTCCCAGCACACTAAAACCAGCAGTGTGGACGTAGCGGCTCAGGTGGCAGCTTGGACCCCCAAGGTCTGAGCTCGGATGGCTAGCTTGAGTCGTCACTGGAGCCATGCAGACACACCCCAGAGGTTAAGCACGTTGCCTACACAGCATTCTCAGCACCTGACAGTCTGGCCAAGGCGTGAAAGACCTTTATGTGATGGCAAAAGATTGCAAGGCCGTAACTATGTTGTATCCCAACTACTGAAGGGTTTTTATGTTCTTCAAGCCACAGAGTGAAAGAGACATGGGGCATGGAGCAGAGAGGTTACCAGCTAAGAGGGGGTTTTCAACACTTCCTGGCCTGAAGAGTTAGCTCCATCAGTCTAACGTGTAGTTAAAAGAAGTAGATAGACATGGATTTGCCCAGATAAATGAGCTGATGGGAGCCAGAGTCACTCTTTGAACTTGGCCAGGTCACATCCCATCTCTGAGCCTCCTCCTTCTCTACAGATGAAGGTAGTGGTACCCATTTTTGTAAAGCAGGACTGATCTGTTGCAGGGAGATATATTGGAAAGCATTACGTGAATGCGAAGTATAGTGGGTTCATGTGCAGGTATGAAGTAATGGTATGTCAGGCAGCTGCTTTATGATGGATAGAAACCATGGTGCAGTCTTCCACCTCTCACCCTCTCATTTCCTTACAGGTTTTCCAGAGACGCGCAGATGGTTCAGTGGATTTTTTCCGTGACTGGGATTCATACAAGAAGGGTTTTGGGAACCAGCTGACGGAATTCTGGCTGGGGAATGACAATATCCACCTGTTAACATCCCTTGGTAACAAAATCACTGATGGATTCTTTTCTGGTTTTTGTTCTCCGCCAGACCATCTCCTTGGAGACAGGATACATAAAAGCAGCAAAGAGCCCTGTGCAACCTTATAGACTAAGAGACGTATTGGAGCATAAGCTTTCATGGGTGAACACCCACTTCGTGAAATGCATGTGGTGGAAATTTCCAGAGGCAGGTATAAATATGCAAGCAAGAATCAGGCTAGGGATAACAAGGTTAGTTCAGTCAGGGAGGCTGAGGCCCTCTTCTAGCAGTTGAGGTGTGAACAGCAAGGGAGGAGAAACTGCTTTTGTCGTTGGTGACCCATTCACAGTCTGTGTTTAATCCTGAGCTGATGGGGTCAAATTTGCAAGTGAACTGAAGCTCAGCAGTTTCTCGTTGAAGTCTGGTCCTGAAGTTTTTTTGCTGCAGGATGGCCACCTTTACATCTGCTATTGTGTGTCCAGCGAGATTGAAGTGTTCCCCTACAGGTTTTTGTATATTGCCATTCCTAATATCTGATTTGTGTCCATTTATCCTTTTATGTAGGGACTGTCCAGTTTGGCCGATGTACATAGTAGAGGGTCATTGCTGGCACATGATGGCGTATATTACATTGGTGGAAGTGCAGGTGAATGAACCAGTGATGGTGATGGTGTGGCTGATCTGGTTAGGTCCTGTGATGGTGTCGCTGGTGTAGATATGTGGGCAGAGTTGGCATCAAGGTTTGTTGCATGGATTGGTTCCTGAGTTAGAGTTACTATGGTGCGGTGTGTCGTTGCTGGTGAGAATATGCTTCAGGCTGGCGGGTTGTCTGTGAGCGAGGACTGGCCTGCCTCCCAAGGCCTGTGAAAGTGAGGGATCATTGTCCAGGATGGGTTGTAGATCACTGACGATGCATTGGAGAGGTTTTAGCTGAAGACTGTTTGTGATGGCCAGTGGAGTTCTGTTTGTTTCTTTCTTGGGCTTGTCTCGCAGCAGGAGGCTTCTGGGTACACGTCTGGCTCTGTTGATCTGTTTCCTTATTTCCTTGTGCGGGTATCGTAGGTTTGAGAATGCTTGGTGAATATCTTGTAGGTGTTGGTCTCTGTCTGAGGAGTTGGAGCAAATGCGGTTGTACCTCAGCGCTTGGCTGTAAACAATGGATCATGTGGTGTGTCCAGGATGGAAGCTGGAGGCATGAAGGTAGGCATAGCGGTCGGTGGGTTTTCGGTATAGGGTGGTGTTAACATGACTGCATGAGGAAATAAGGAAACAGATCAACAGAGCTAGATGTGTACCCAGAAGCCTCCTGCTGCAAGACAAGCCCAAGAAAGAAACCAACAGAACTCTACAACCCATCCTGGACAATGATCCCTCACTTTCACAGGCCTTGGGAGGCAGGCCAGTCCTCGCTCACAGACAACCCGCCAGCCTGAAGCATATTCTCACCAGCAACGACACACCGCACCATAGTAACTCTAACTCAGGAACCAATCCATGCAACAAACCTTGATGCCAACTCTGCCCACATATCTACACCAGCGACACCATCACAGGACCTAACCAGATCAGCCACACCATCACCATCACTGGTTCATTCACCTGCACGTCCGCCAATGTAATATATGCCATCATGAGCCAGCAATGTCCCTCTGCTATGTACATCGGCCAAACTGGACAGTCCCTACGTAAAAGGATAAATGGACGCAAATCAGATATTAGGAATGGCAGTATACAAAAACCTGTAGGGGAACACTTCAACCTTCCTGGACACACAACAGTAGATGTAAAAGTGGCCATCCAACAGCAAAAAAACTTCAGGACCAGACTTCAACGAGAAACTGCTGAGCTTCAGTTCACTTGCAAATTTGACCCCATCAGCTCAGGATTAAACACAGACTGTGAATGGGTCGCCAATGACAAAAGCAGTTTCTCCTCCCTTGCTGTTCACACCTCAACTGCTAGAAGAGGGCCTTAGCCTCCCTGATTGAACTAACCTCACTATCCCTAGCCTGATTCTTGCTTGCATATTTATACCTGCTTCTGGAAATTTCCACTACATGCATTTCACGAAGTGGGTGTTCACCCACGAAAGCTTATGCTCCAATACGTCTGTTAGTCTATAAGGTGCCACAGGACTCTTTGCCCCTTTTAAAGATCCAGACTAACATGGCTACCCCTCTGATACAGGACACATAAAGTGATTCATCTGCTTGTATTCCTGGGGTTGGACAGACATGTCTCAACCCCTCCTTACAAAGATCAGACAGAACGTTCATGGAACGTGATTGACATTTTTGTTTCCGTTTTGTCTCTAGAAACTTGTGAACTTCGTGTCGATCTGAGTGACACGGAAAACAATAAATCCTTTGCCCACTATGAGACCTTCAGCATTTCAGGACAATCTGACAAATACAGACTGAACCTAGGAAAGTTTCTTACAGGCACTGCAGGTAAGTTTGGGGCCCATTCTGCACTTTCTGTACAAGGGAGGTATCATGAACAACCATCAAAAGCACAGAGTATCTCTGGCAGTTCTACCAACTCAGAGATTACCTGAAAGGGGAGGTGGGAAGAAAGTCCATGCGACATTCCAGTGCAGGCCATCAGCATGATGTTTTCACCACACTTGTGAATGTTAACTGGAGTTGAACTCAGAATTCTTGGTCCTCCAGCGTCCAGAAAGAGGATGTTTGGTTGGGGGAACTTACTAAAGTGAGGCCCTGCTGGGTCTTTTCCCCCACAGCTAGCCTCCTATTTTTAAATATTGTTTGGGAAGGGAAAGGAGCTATTAGAGGCATGCTACATATTAAACAAAAGGAACCATAGCTGTATAGCCAAAGTGTGGAATAGAGAATCCCTGTGACTTGATTAATAGTCAAATGCAGGGGACCAGGACATCTCTCAGAGCCTGAAAGTGCTTTGTACACACACAGCCATGTTCTTGCTTCTGATGTTTTAACAGGTGATTCCTTGTCTGGCCATAAAAATATGACGTTTACAACCAAAGACAATGACAATGATATGCATTCGGCGAACTGTGCTCTGCTGTACAAGGGCGGCTGGTGGTACAATAAGTGTCACAGTTCCAATCTGAATGGGCTGTACCTGCTGGGGCCCCACAAGAGCTACGCAGATAGTGTCATCTGGGCAACAGGCAAAGGGGCTCACTATTCCTACAAAGTCTCAGAGATGAAGTTCAGGCCGGTTTAGCACCAGGAGAGTGCAGCGGGAGGTCGCTCTCCAGCAATGTGTGGGAATGGACCCTCCCAGGTAGTTAGATGCCTTAAGCCCATTGATTTCCACGGAAGTTAGGTGCCTAACGGATCTGGGCCTTAGAGCCTGATCTGAAGCCCAGTGAAGTCAATGGGAGTCTTTCCATTGACATCAGTGTGTGCGGATGAGGCCCATAGCTGGAAGCACCCAAGCAAACACACTGATGTTTAATACCAACCTTTTCCTTTTCCTGGTCACGTTGAGTTTCATAGATCCTAAGGTCAGAAGAGCCCATTATGATCATCTAGTCCGACCTCCTGCACAACACAGGCCACAGAATCTCACCCACCCACTCCTGCGAAAAACCTCTCACCTATGTCTGAGCTATTGAAGTCCTCAAATCGTGGTTTAAAGACTTCAAGGAGCAGAGAATCCTCCAGCAAGTGACCCATGCCCCATGCTACAGAGGAAGGCGAAAAACCTCCAGGACCTCTGCCAATCTGCCCCGGAGGAAAATTCCTTCCCGACCCCATATATGGCGATTAGCTAAACCCTGAGCATATGGGCAAGATTCACCAGCCAGACACCCAGGAAAGAATTCTCTATAGTAACTCAGATCCCACCCCATCTAACATCCCATCACAGGCCATTGGGCCTATTTACCATGAATATTTAAAGATCAATTAATTACCAAAATCATGTTATCCTATCATACCATCTCCTCCATAAACTTATCGAGTTTAGTCTTAAAGCCAGATAGGTCTTTTGCCCCCACTGCTTCCCTTGGAAGGCTATTCCAAAAGTTCACTCCTCTGATGGTTAGAAACCTTCATCTAATTTCAAGTCTAAATTTCCCAATGACCAGTTTATATCCATTTGTTCTTGTGTCCACATTGGTACTGAGGAATTAAATAATTTCTCTCCCTCTCTGGTATTTATCCCTCTGATATATTTATAGAGAGCAATCATATCTCCCCTCAACCTTCTTTTAGTTAGGCTAAACAAGCCAAGCTCCTTGAGTCTCCTTTCATAAGACAGGTTTTCCATTCCTCGGATCATCCTAGTAGCCCTTCTCTGTACCTGTTCCAGTTTGAATTCATCCTTCTTAAACATGGGAGACCAGAACTGCACACAGTATTCCAGGTGAGGTCTCACCAGTGCCTTGTATAACGGTACTAACACCTCCTTATCTCTACTGGAAATACCTCGCCTGATGCATCCCAAGACCGCATTAGCTTTTTTCACGGCCATATCACATTGGCAGCTCATAGTCATCCTGTGATCAACCCATACTCCAAGGTCCTTCTCCTCCTCCGTTACTTCTAATTGATGCGTCCCCAGCTTATAACTAAAATTCTTGTTATTAATCCCTAAATGAATAACTTTACACTTCTCACTATTAAATTTCATCCTATTACTATTACTCCATTTTACAAGGTCATACAAATCTTCCTTTATGATTTCCCGGTCCTTCTCTAAATTGACAATACCTCCCAGCTTTGTATCATCTGCAAACTTTATTAGCACACTCCCACCTTTTGTGCCGAGGTCAGTAATAAAAAGATTAAATAAGATTGGTCCCAAAACTGATCCCTGAGGAACTCCACTGGTAACCTCCCTCCAGCCTGACAGTTCACCTTTCAGTAGGACCCGCTGTAGTCTCCCTGTTAACCAATTTCTTATCCACCTTTCAATTTTCATATTGATCCCCATCTTTTCCAATTTAACTAATAATTCCCTATGTGGCACGGTATCAAACGCCTTACTGAAATCTAGGTAAATTAGATCCACTGTGTTTCCTTTGTCTAAAAAATCTTTTACTTTCTCAAAGAAGGAGATCAGGTTGGTTTGGCACGATCTACCTTTTGTAAAACCATGTTGTCAGGAGCTCTCTGTTCAAGTTTGAATGCCCAGCCCGTTCCATTCTACTTCTGTTAGAACCAAGGCAGAGCCAGTGCTGCCGGCAGGGCAGCGGCCAAGCTGTGAGCTGCTGCTGCGCATTTGTCACAATTATTGAGCCACATCCTGACATCCCTTTTTTCATTCCTGCTAAATTAAAGGAAAATCCCTCTGATTTCAGTGACAGTTTTGCCATAGTAAGAGCTGAGTGAAGGTTTTAAGATTTGGCACTTGGTGATGAAATTCATTATTGCATCAGAGCTCATAGCATGATGATGCATCTGCAGTTAATTGCAGAAGATCAAAAATTTTTAACCAGTTTTTTTTTTTTAAGATCATGAGCCTGGAGAAAGCAAGATATTTGTCCCATGCTAATTTGCATTTACACCAAGGATATTTACACCGTTTACCATTTACACGAAGGATATTAAGCTCGCCCCACTTCCCAACAAAGACTGAACACCAGGAGTGAAATCCAGGCACCAATGAAGTCAATGGAGGTTTTGCCATTGATTTCAGTGGGGCCAGGATGGCACCCAGAGCTTTAGAGTTAAGTCTTAAATTACTAAGACCCCTTTATCTCTACAGTAGTGCTATGCTATACTATGAAGCATAATCCTCACTGGTTAAAAGAAAACTGCATATATCACAATAAATTAATAAAGTATGTTTAACGAGGCATGTAAAGTACATTTTGTGTGGTATGATTACATCTTTTGCCTTGCTCTAGTTTTCTTACTGGTTTATGCACCATGGCCCTCACGGTCATTTGCGGGGATTATTATATTAGTAACATAAAACAAATGAAAATAAATACTGGGTTCTTTTCATCAGAAGATCTCAAAGGGCTTGACAAAGGCAGGTGAGTATCATTATCCCTGTTTTACAGACAGAGAAATTGATATAGTGATGTAGTTTAGATGATTTGTCCAAATTTATACGTATTGAATCAAAAAGAGTCATGGGTAGACACTGGTTTGTAGCTCTGTGATCCAGCCCCTAGCCACAACTGTCTGCCTCACAAAGGTTGCCCTCTGTGCTCAAGATCCGAAGAGCAGAAGAAATTCTCAGGAAAGTAGCTGCACTTTATTGACTATACTATAGGGCTGTCAATTAGTCGCAGTTAACTCACGCAATTAACTCAAAAACATTCATCATGATTTAAAAAATTAATCGCGATTCATCACAGTTTTAATCACACTGTTAAACAATAGAATACCAATTGAAATTTATTAAATATTTTGGATGTTTTTCTACATTTTCAAATATATTGATTTCAGTTACAACACAGAATACGAAGTGTACACCGCTCACTTTATATTATCATTTTTATTACAAATATTTGCACTGTACAAAGGATAAACAAAAGAAATCGTATTTTTCAATTCACCTCAAACAAGTACTGTAGTGCAATCTCTTGATCATGAAAGTGCAACCTATAAATGTAGATTTTTTTTGTTACATAACTGCACTCAAAAACAAAACAATGTAAAACGTCAGAGCCTACAAGTCCACTCAGTCCTACTTCTTGTTCAGCCAATCGCTCAGACAAACAAGTTTGTTTACTTGTACGGGAGATAATGCTGCCCGCTTCTTATTTACAATGTCACCAGAAAGTGAGAACAGGCGTTCACATGGCACTTTTGTAACTGGCATTGCAAGGTATTTACATACCAGATATGCTAAACATTCATATGCCCCTTCATGCTTCAGCCACCATTCCAGAGGACATGCTTCCATGCTGATGACGCTCATTAAAAAAATAATGTATTAATTAAATTTTGACTGAGCTCCTTGGGGGAAGAATAGTATGTACCCTGCTATGTTTTACCCGCATTCTGCCATATATTTCATGTTACAGCAGTCTCGGATGATGACCCAGCACTTGTTGTTCATTTTAAGAACACTTTCACTGCAGATTTGACAAAACACAAAGAAGGTACCAATGTGAAGTTTCGAAAGAAATCTACAGCACTCGACCCAAGATTTAAGAATCTGAAGTGCCTTCCAAAATATGAGAGTGACCAGGTGTGGAACATGCTTTCAGAAGTCTTAAAACAGCAACATTCTGATGCAGAAACTACAGAACCTGAACCATCAAAAAAGAAAATCAACCTTCTGCTGGTGGCATCTGACTCAGATAATGAAAATGAACATGCATCGGTCCACTCTGCTTTGGATCGTTATCGAGCAGAACCCCTCATCAGCATGGATGCATGTCATCTGGAATGATGGTTGAAGCATGAAGGGACATATGAATCTTTAGCGCATCTAGCACGTAAATATCTTGTGACGCCGGCTACATCAATGCCATGCAAACTCCTGTTCTCGCTTTCAGGTGACATAGTAAACTACAAGTGGGTGGGCAGCATTATCTCCTGTGAATGTAAACAAACTTGTTTGCCTGAATGATTGGCTGAACAAGAAATAGAACTGAGTGGACTTATAGGCTCTAAAGCAGTGATTCTCAAACTTATTTTTTCGTGGAACACTTGAAAATTGGTGAGGGTCTCGGCGGACCACTTAATGATCTTTCCAAATGTTGTTTGTACTGTTAACTAAGTATTGTAAAGTACTTTGGATGAAAGCACTATATAAAAAAAACCCTTAATAATAATAAACATTTTTTGTTCTACAAATAAAAGCACACAACTCATATTTTAATATCAGTAGTCTTACCTTTCTAATGTGATGGATGTGCCCTCTCTCCCCTGCCGCGGCAGCCCCCGAGCTGGGGCTGGGAAGGAGGGGGTCTCTCCCCCGCCACAGCAGCCACAGAGCAGAGGCTGGGAAGGAGGGCCATCTCTCCCTGGCAGCCACAGCCCTGGAGCTGGGGAAAGTCGCCTCTTTCTCTGGCAGCCGCAACCCTGCAGATCCTAAATTCTCCCCACCCCCTCTTCTCACCCCACTGCCCCTTCCCACCTACCCCCTATTCCCAAGGCCACCACCTCACTTCACATGTGCGTCTTCTCCAGGGTCCAAGCACCTAATTAGAGGAGCCACACCTGCGCAGCTCCACTAATTAGGTGGGTGGCCCTTCATTCTCTCGTGTGCAGCCACTCAAGCGCACACCTTAGAGGGAACTATCCGCAGACCACCTGAATGGAGCTTGCGGACCACTGGTGGCCCACAGACCACAGTTTGAGAACCTCTGCTCTAAAGTTTTACATTTTGTTTCATTTTTGAGTGCAGTTATTTTTTGTACATAATTCTACATTTGTAAGTTCAACTTTCATGATTAAGAGATTGCACTACCGTACCTGTATGAGGTGAACTGAAAAATACTTTTTTTTGTTTTTTAACAGCACCAATATTTGTAATCAAAAATAAAGCGAGCACTGTACTCTTTGTGTTTTGTTTTGTAATTTAAATCAATATATTTGAAAATGTAGAAAACACCCAAAAATATTTAAATAAATGGTATTCTATTATTAACAGTGCAATTAATCACACCATTAATCGCAGTTAATTTTTTTAATCTTGCGATTAATCGCGATTAATTTTTAATCGCTTGACAGCCCTACTTTAATAATGAAAAAGAACTACAAATATGTTGACAGGCATTGTTTATGGAAGACTACGTAAGGTTGTGAGTAGACGTCAACATACAGGAGGAAGTGGTGATATGGAAAAGTAACCGGGATTGTATCTTTTGTCCACTCTGTATTATGGGCTTTGTTCTTTGTTTTGTTAAACTCTGACACATTTGAGAATCATTGACACATTCCCTGCAGTGCCTGGGTAAGCAAAGTGAGCTCAGCACCACCTTCTGCTAAAAAGCAGAAATTCTTCAAAAATAAGGAAATTAAGAAAATGAGAAAAAAAAATGTTCACAGACATTTATTGCATTTAGAAGGGAATTCATTTCTCTTGCTTTAGCTTTCCCTGAATATCATACTGAATGAATTTACTCTCAGGAATATTCAGAACGGGACTGTGAGTGAATATTCACTGAAAACCACTTCACAACGTGTACTTGTGTAACCTACTGGTGCGTGTGTGAAACAGGTCTGTCTCAGTGCCCAACCCACAGAGGACAGGAGTCTGGGGAGCCTTGGCTCATTAGTTCAAGCTATAGCAGCTCATGCTGTTAGCGCTGGAAGTCCCTGTTTCAGTCCCTGGTGTGTTGGCCTGGATTGCAGCCTTCACACTCGCAGTGGAAGCCTCATTCTCCAAGTTACGTTCATGAGATATGTATTTATTTCCCACCTCCCATCTCTCTGCACCAATCAGTTACATATCCCATCGCTATGGTTAAGGTTCCTTAACTATCCACCTTTCCAATCCTCCAGCAGTGGAGAATTGTTCTCCGTGTCATTGTGCAGAAGTTCAACAGCCCCCCAGCTGAGTTCAGTGCGGTAATTTGCCTAGGGACTGGGTGGCGACAATAAAAAAGATCCCATACAGGGAGCCCTGTTGCTCCTTTGAACATTGCAGCCAGACACAGCCGTCCTGGCAGCCCCACGGGGACAAGTTTTTTACTTCCTGCTTTTAGGATGAGCAGGCCAGGGGACAACATTATGAATTCCAACAGTGAGTAACACAAATGGTTAATCCCTCCCTCAGTCAGAGCCAATTGCAATCCCTGAGATTCTCACTCCTTCAGATGCATGGAGTGAAAATTACAGATACATAAATATACTTTTATATATTTATGCCTGTATCTGTAATTTTCACTCCATGCATCTGAAGAAATGAGGTTTTTTTTACCCATGAAAGCTTATGCCCAAATAAATCTGTTAGTCTTTAAGGTGCCACCGGACTCCTTGCTCTTTTTGTGGATACAGACTAACACGGCTGATACTTGGCACCCTGAGATTCTCAGATTCTAGCCCCTCACAGCCTCAGTCGAATAAATGAGGAGACAATGATTCAACCAGAAAGCCCCTCGGCCTCTTTAAGTGCATCTTCTCTTTGGCCATCGTGACCTTTGATTAGACTATCCCCATTTGCCCTTTCACTAATTTCCCTTGACAGTCCATCCCTTCCAATTTATTTGGCATTACCTTCACACTGCTGTTCATCAGGCAGTTAGCATGCTTGGGTAACAAGCCTAAGAGAGCCTTTAATGATCCATTTTGTATGGAAAATCCAACAGGTAGTATGACCCAAGAACTCCCTAATGCCAACTGGCAAGGGCATTACAAAAATATCTTGATTCTAGTATGTTCATTCTGGTATGCCAGAGAATGGCATGTGAGGTTTTCAAGGAAAGCCAGGATCACACCGGTCATTAATATCATTGTGAAAGATATGTGCAGATACTATGTAAGGAGTTAGGTATATATACTGAAAATATGTTTTTAAAGTCTGTATCAAGGCTTTAGTCACCAGCAGAGGTGGAGAACAGATTTTCTTCCAGACAGAAGGTAAGTAATGTATCTCTCTGTTGGGATATAAATTGAGTATTGTATACTAAGACAATGGATGCCTATTTACATACAAAGTCAGATGTTAATGAAGAGATGTGAAGTCAACAGGAATGCACCACACAGGAAAAACAAGCCATGGGTGGTTACCCTGTCTCTGAGGAAAAGTCAATGAACTTTGTGGGTGTACAAAGGAGGAAGAGAAGACACCCCCTCATCTTGCATCTGGGAAGTAGAGGACAGTTCATTTACATTCATGAAAATAGGATCTCAGCCAACATTCGCTGAAAATGCTGCAAATACTT